GAAAATAGGAGAGCACTCGTTTTGGGGTGGGCTTAGTTCCGTAATTTTCTGTTCTAATTAATGGGCCCTTACTAGATTAGATTCATACTGAGGAAGACTGGACCTTTAGAAGACATTTTGAAATCAGATGGTGTTTTTATTATCGGTCTTCGACTGTTAAGAAATCAAAGATTTCCAAAGACTTGCAAATAATATGAATAGCAAATGTAGTAAATTAAATCTATCTGTTTTTCTTTTGTATTTAGGTCCAAGAGAGCTTGGCTCCTCGAATAGCTGATCCTCGTGGTAATTGGCACGACTGTAAGATGAACAATGCACGATGTTCAGCACCCCAAATCCAATTTCTGCAAGGTGAGTGACTGTATCTGCTTGATATTTCTTAATCTTGTTTTCATATCTGAGGAGAACTAGTCGATCAATAAACACTGTTTTTGAGCAGGTTTTAGGGCTCATATGATGAACGCAGTAAAAGGCTTTGCCACATCTAGACAAAATGGGTTGTTCCTAAATTCATGCTTTGCTCACTGCCAGTCTGAGAGGCAGGATACCTGGTTTGCAGATGATTCTCCAGTAATTGGGAACAAGGTATAACCAGAAGTACGAATTTTCTTTTAGGTTTTCATGCACATATATATAAGAACTCCTATATTCTTAGTCCTGCTTATAAAGAAACTTGTTGTAATGTGCGTAGTTCTCTTTAAGTTGATATAATTGTCGTGCAATCCTTTATAGGGCCGCTTTTAAGCTAAACCAACATGGCATTTCCAGGTGTACTCTAGTTATTGAAAGTCCCATGGATTTTTGTCTTTTGAACACAGAAAGGCCTGTGGGTGTTAAATGCAGAACAAGTTTTTCCAATCTCCACAATTCATTGACCTGAGGAAGTTATCATGTGAACATCATGCATACTCATTTGTGCAGTATTCAATATTCATTAACAAGTTGTCTGATAGGAAAGCAACGTAAAAGTAATGTAGAATACATTCAGAGTTTCCTTTTACGAAACAATTGAAATGGAAGAAATGGATCCTTTTTCTCGGCCTCCCTTCTCGATGTCTTCCTTTTTGTAATGAATGCACACTTGTAGAAACTAGAAACTATCACCTCTTCTGCTGTCTCTCTTTAAATATCTTTTATGCGATGAATATCTTTCATTAACATGCGTCTTTACTATGTTACAATGCAGGCTGTTGCAATAGCTGTTGGAGATTGGTACTTTGATAGAGCAAGTATCAAGGCCATTGACTGCGCATATCCATGTGACAAAACTTGTCACAACCTCGTTTTCAGATGAACCAGGCTTTAGTTTTGGCCTTCTATTCTAAGCTAATTTATTTAATCAGCATGATGGGCAATCTTCATCTTCAATTTATTTATAATTTAAGAAAATACATTGATGAAAATAAGTCTACAATTGCTTTGAAATTTTTGAGTCTTCGATGTACTCCATATGTATACACTCTGTAAGACAGAAGAAAGAGGAAAGTCAGGAATCAAGATTTACAGCCTGGTGCCGAGCGTTGAGTTATTTTTATATGTTCTTTTTCCCGTTGAGTGGTATTAATTTTTTGATGAAGAAAGAGCCATGTAATCCGAGGATCGACATTCATTAAAACTGTTGGCAATGATCAAGCATATTTTGAGATTTACAAAATGTGCGCACTTGTTTATTCAGTAGTGCTGATGCTCGTAAGGAATGTTTGGTATGTTGAACGCAACAGGAATACAGGATTAGATATTCTATCATATGTTCCTTTCTTTATCCTGTTTAATCATCAAATAAGAGGCACCAAACATGTCCTTAGTATGTCCCTTTTGCTTGTAATTTCCCTGCACTATGAATTTGACCTTGTCTTGAGGCTCTGGCATATGTGCAGGTAGACTAATAAATGATTAGAGGGAAGAGTCTTCTTGATACTGCATGCCTCAGACAAGGAATCAAATTTATTTTTATGTTAATCATGGTTGTACTATGAATAGTTTAAAGATTATTCCCTCTAAAGTCAAATGTCCTATTACAAGTCTTCCATTGAGGGATCAATGTCTCTGTTCATAACCTTATATAAAAAAGGTGGAAAATCAGAAAAAATACTATGGGAATCTTTTGAGGATAATATCATGATTTTATTGAGGATTATTTGTGGGATTAAATGTCCTTGTTCTTGTTCTCTTCTGTTAGCAGCCTCCCAGAATCTTTTCACTGGTCTAAAAGAAGTGGCTTAATTTTGTTCATTACTCTTGGCAATGTATTAGCCAATTTGATGCTTATTGCAACTTGTTTCTTTTAATCTAAAATTAAAGTATACTTGAACTAGTTTTCTTTTGCTTCGTATAAGCTCCTGTTTGAGTCATATTATTTTTTTCATTATCATTCTTCTACTCATTTTCAACCACACATTTTTCAATAAAATAATATTTTCCATCACATCAATAACTTTTCCTTCTTTTTCAACTACATATTTTCCATCACATCAAACAAAAAATGCATTTTTAGACTCAAAATGTACACCAAACAGGAGCTTATTATCTAAGTTTGTGTGTCGCAGTATGAATGTAGGAAGACATTAGCAGACAGTCGACCGCGCATTAGGGGGAGATTCGCGAGGAATGATGAAACGGAGAAGACAACGCAAAGTCATTATGATAATGCGGGTATAGAGGAAGATGAAGAGGATGATAATAACTGGATCGATATTATTAATGCTTTTTCTGCAAATCTGATGCCATGATCCTAAAAGAGTTCCCAAATTTTAATGCTTAGGAGCTACTTATCTATTTTTAANGTAAGTATATGAAATTCGTAATGAACACTGGGGTAAAAAATTCCGAAAGGTACATAATTTATATTGTCGTTTTGATCCAATCATTATCTCCTTCAACTTTATTAACTTAGCATCAAATATTACGTGTCAATGGTAACAAAATGAATTCTAGTGACTTGTGACTTAAAATCGAGGAGACAAATTCGACCACTTTCAAAATTTCGTTCATTTTTTTTATCATCTCTATACACTATGAATTGTAAATGAAAATTTTCGTTTGACAATCTCCTTTTATATTCGAAACATTCAAGAATGGTTGCCAATTCAATACCTCTCTATTTTTGTTTTGTTTTGCTTAGAAGAAGATTGTAGGGCCATGAAAAGGTACTCAATAATTTGAATCACATGCAGCCATAGAGGCAACAATAAATTATAAATTACACACGTATCACCTATGCTTTCTAGAAAAGAAAAATAAAACATCTTCAATCAATTTGTGAAGCATTCATTCTCGTGCTTGCACGTGGACGCACACACACAAACAGACTCTGGTTTTACAATCATGCTACATGTACACTTTATTTTACATTATTTTTTACATTGTGCCATGTGTCGGCGAATAATTGGACAATTAAAAAAAAAATCACTTTCCCACCTAATACATTTTGAATTTTCACACAATGTCAAAAAAGATGTACACTTAGCATAATTCATGGTTTTAATACCCCATCCCATCCCACCCCACCCCACTCCACTCCCCATACACTTCTTGTAATTTAATTTCTTGTACTTTGAATGGGCCTTTCTTGATTCTTCAAGTCAGCTTTCTACAATTGAATTGTATTTGCATCATTGAAATGTGTTCGTCATTTTTCGATATACATTGTAAGAAAGGCTATTTATACTATCTTTAAATTAGTCGTGTTTCACATTCTATCTCTCATATTGGTATATATGAATAATGGATGTCGACTAAGATTGACGTATGGATGAAAATCTTTATCTCAAATAATTAATTGACATTGACTCTTTCACATGCAGATGCAGGTTTATCAATTTTCAATATGTTCAACTATGTTACGTGTCATCAGATCTGATCTCATGTCCACAATCGGTAGGATAAAAAATTTCTATATATTTAGAAAATATTATTTAAAGTTATTTCTGTCACATTAACAGTGAAAAGTTTTTATGTTACATATTGGGGCATGAGATCAATTCTCCCTGTGTCATTGTTAGATGTGAAACTATATTTTTGGTTCTTTATATGGGAAAAGAAAAAGATAAGAAAGAAACAAAAGATGGGGGTTGGGTGGGGTGGGGGGTTAGCACAATTCTCCTATTGAGGCCTCCTCTCCTCTCCAGCACAATTCAAACATGAAATTTTCATTTGTTATCTCATAAAAGTATCAACATCAATATGTTTCCACCATATATAGGGGACCCTAGTCTTCTGTTCCCCACAGAAGTAGTAAAAGATATACCCCAGAATTGCTGTGTCATTGGTGTCCACACACAAAAAAGTTGCATCCATTTTGGACCTTTATTTCAATTAACACAGGAAAGAGATAATCCCAATCAACTTAGGATTTCTTTGGAAATCCTTTAATTTCCCCTGATTCTTATCAAGATTTAACTTGACTATTGTGGGATTTTTTGAATTTGAATTGTACGTGCGTGCGTACGTGCGCGCAAGTCACGCTTCACGAGGCAAATCTTAGGAGACAAGCATGATTATTATCTTGATGAATATTTGGCCTAAGGACAGATGACTTCAAGGCTGTAAAAAGTGAAAACTATCTCAATCTATAGGAGACAGTGATGGACGCCCATTTAAGGGAAATGGTTTGATGAATCTTGTATAAGGATAGGGCTAGTGTTAAAAGTTTAGTAAAAGAATTTCACAAAACCCAAAAAGTTTCAGACAGGTTACAGGTAGTCACTGTCTTGAAAGGAGTTTTATGGGAGGAACTTGGAGAGATTAAGGTGGTCACAAACGTTAAAAATGGAGAAAGAAAAAAATAAGACTGAACAAACAATTAATTCATGATTTTACAAGCTGCAATTAAATTCATAAGAATAAATAGAGAAAACAATTGAACAAGACTTATATATATTCTAGCATAAATGATAAACCTTACACAAAACATGAACAAGAATTGAAATAGGAAACGGGTTTTTCTATGGAAAAATATTGGTATATAAGTCCATATTTACAGATAGAAGAAGGCTTGATGATTAATGTAATAAACTAAGCAAATTGTCCAAAGGTGGCATGAAGCCTCTGAAAATGCTTGCTGACATATCTGCAGCTTGTAAATTTTGCTGCTGCTGCTGATTTGGATACCAGTTGGGAGTATTACTTAATGGACCTTCTGTTGAAACTTGTGTTCTTGATTTCGTCTCGCCGAATAAATCTTGATCACTTTGATTCTGAATAGAATTTCCTAGTATGAATGGAGTATGAAGATATTCTGACCACTTTATATCTTCAGGGATTTCGTGTTCTGATGAAGGAACATTGGCTTGTTTTTCGGGTCTTACACAGTCTGTGGCTCCCCATGGAAAGACATTATTTTCAAAGATGCTGCTGCTAGTTACATTGCTTGTGCTTCCATTGTTACCAAGGTTGCACCCATCCCAATTCTGGAGTTTCGTACTTAAAAGGCCTATAGGACTATCCGGGGGAAGACTTGTCGAAGACTTCATACGAGTAGAAAACGAAAGAAACGAGCTTGGTAGGGAAGGAAGAACAGTATTTGTTACACAAGAATTGAACTCAGATTCTATCCCTGATGACTTGGAATTCGGATTGAAGAACAAATTCGAGGTGTTGGGATTCATCGAAAGCCCTATATTATTAGGACTATAATTCAATTGCTGAAAGGAGACATACTCAGATAAATCTGAAGGCTTATTATCAGTAGTGGAGCTTTCATGGCTGGCAATAAACCTATTCATGAAAAATTCATGAGTTGTTGCCAAATTACTGGAATTGTTTTGTATAAGTGGATACTGATCCAGGGATGAATTTAGTTTTCTCGAATTTCCCGAATCTACAAAAGTCAGTTCACTGATTCCTTCAGATGCTTTCTCATTGTTTTTGCTGCTTGGAGAAGCATTTTCTCCATTTTCAACCTCAGAAATTGGGTTGTGAGTATTAGGGTCAATGCCTCTTTGCCTCAGTTTCTTCTTTATAGAGGAGTTCCATAGATTCTTGATTTCATTATCTGTTCTTCCAGGCAATTGTGCAGCAATTTGTGACCACCTGGTAATGAAATTTAACAGCCTCAAGATCACAAAAAAAAGCGGTTAAACATGCAAAAAAACTGGTGGATAACACAATTATATACCTGTTTCCAAGAACTGCATGCAATTCAATAATCAAATTCTCTTCCTCCTGTGAGAAAGTCCCTCTTTTCAAATCAGGCCTTAAATAATTAATCCACCTTAACCTGCAGCTCTTTCCACACCGTTGAAGCCCTTCAAGATTATCACACGATAATGTGATCAGAAACATTAACATTTTGTAAAAAAAATCGATGAAAAATAACGTTATTACCAGCTAGTTTTGGGACAGAACTCCAACATCCATGTCCATATTTAGTTATGTGCTTTACAAGTTTTTCATCTTCTTCTGGAGACCAGAGGCCTTTCCTTAACTTCTGCTTGTAACAACAAGAATGCCTACCCATGTGAAGTGCAATGCTGGCAGAAAAATGTCAGCCAAAAAAAAAAAAAAGAAAGTTTTGGTGAGAGGAGAGAGAGAGAGAGACTGGAAAAGGAGATGGCAATAGGGAATCGAATTAATTGGAAGTACCTTTAAGAAGGAGGTCACACATACTTAAGATTGTAATTAAGGATAATTAAATATGATACATAAATAATTATTTTATGAAATTATTATTATATTAATTAATTGACAGCAGTTTGTGGGGTTCAAAGACAGATATTTATTTGGTGGAAAAACTGGAGTTTTTAATATCCCAATATATAGAAGTTTATAAATTTATTTACCAAAGAGAATTAAAAATTAGTATATTACTTAAGTTTCTCTCCTTAAAAATAAATAAGTTTAGAAGCAAAAAATGAATGAAAGAGGACTTCACTTTTGTTTTGGCTTAGCCAAACATTTTGTGGAATATGCTTGATGAATAGTAACGGACAGTTGGACACGACTAACAAATAAGAAAGTTCAAATTTTGTTTGCTTTGTCTACTCCATAAGTGCACTAAGTAAAATAAATTCAAAACTAATAAGTTATGTACATAACTAAACATAAATACAATCACAAAAAGTTGAAATCATGGACTATTTTGTCGGGTTCCTTAGAAAGAGTTGTCTCGCATTTCTCCCTCGGGATATGAAACAAAGAACATAGAAGAAGGTACGTTAATATAGTGAATGAGAAAGAGGATGAATCTAATGCATCATATCTAAGCGATTCTTCGGTTTGACGGGTCAAAGAAGCAATGTCTTTCTGCGTTCGAGAATCCCCTCCATTTTCACTCTATCTTGGTGACTAATTATTGCTAAGAATCACGGTAATGTGTATTTATTTAAGATTAAAAAGTAGTTTCATTATTGTTCATTCGTCCTTCCCGTTAGACAATATTGTAATATTAATACTGATTTTTTAAGGGAGCGTGCTAATTGTACATGGCCAATTAATAACTTCTATGCCATGTGGCTTTACACGTTTTTTGTTTCAATAACATTCGTACTTTCCAATGTAACACAATTTTATAAACAATCTATTTTGACATTTTCAATATTGTTGATATCAAAACTTTGTGAGACTTAACAACATTTGGTGCTAAATGAAATAAAGGGCGAAAAGGACTTTAGCCAAATATGGTGCAAAATTGCAAAATTTATGTATAATATAAAATGACATAAATACCCTTAAACAACATTTGGTGCTAAATGAAATAAAGGGCGAAAATGACTTTAGACAAATATGGTGCAAGATTTGGTGTTGGGTTGGAGTGGCATATTTGGTGCAAAACAGGGGAAAAAAATGGCGTTTTAGTGCAAGGGTTGGAATTGCCCTCAGTAGGCTCCAATTCTTTTTCGAGTTATGCTTAGTATCAAAAAGCGGTGAATGAAGATGTTTTTTGTTAAAAATATTAGTAAGTTTTAGAATAAACTGGTAAAAGTTGAACGTGCACTGCACATTATTCTAAAATACTTTATAAGTATTGTAAAAGTAATATTTGATATCAATTTGTTGAGAGGATTTGATGAGTCTTCAAAGAAGTAAAAAAAAAAAATTAGGATATGAATTTAAAAGAAGAAAATTATACTCTCAAAACTCAATTTCTATGATTCAAATTTTTTTGCGATGATGAAAACTACAAATAAGTAATCATTTTATACTACATTTGACACATAAAAATTAATTGTTGATAGATGAATTTAAATACCCATTAAAATTTCTAGATACATGAACAGAAATAAATTCATTTATAACAATTTTAGATACATATAGATCAAAATTCGTCAAATCCAGATTCATTGAGTTAAGATTAAGATGAATGTTAATTAATTGAGAATTAGTAACACGAAATTAATATATAACAGATTTTTTTAGTATTTATTACATATTGAAAAACGAAAAAGTACACTATTATTGAAATAATTAAATTGTAGTACTGTTAAAATTATTAAAAAATAATTATCATTTGATATGATATTTAATATATTATAAATAATATTTGATCACACGAAATGTATGACTAATATAAAGGTAGTAATTGTAAATGATTAGTCGAGATGCGCCAAAACTGATCTGGACATCCACAATTATTAAAAAAAAAGGTAACTTTTCAATAACTTCTAATTTTACACGAAGATGACTAGCTTTCGTAAATAACATCTTCATCTTAAATGGTCATTATTTGGGTGAAGGGATGGATTGTAACAAGCAACGTTAGACGAATACATCTTCCGCATAACATCTTCTAATGCAAGGGTGGACCCTCTTATTTCGGAATTAGGCTATAGTACAAACTTCAAAGTTTAGGCCAAAAATGTCGTTTTTCCTTTTCAAATATAAAATTGGTTGCAAAAAGACTTATAGTTATCAAAAGTGTACAAGTTCTACATTTTTACCCATCTAAAATTTTTGGTCGAGCTACGTCATTGTTAGCATAACTTCGTCTTTCTTAGTGTGATCATCAAACTCTTGTACCAAATTTCTCGTGACTCGAGCTTGGCTTTAAGGTCATATTAGGGTCAACGTCGAAGTGCCATATGATTTTGTCCATGTTTGGTTCAACTAAAAAAAATTGATTAAAGTTTAAATCAAAATCAACAATTAATTTTAATCACAAGATTTTATAGGAAACAATTTTTCTGCCATACACTTCAACAATATTTATCAAAATCTACTCAAGATCTGCCATATAATTTTTCTGCCATACACAGCCGACAATCCCAATAATGCAGTATAGTTGCACTCAGAATGTGTTACGTTGCCGCAATTCCAATATTGAAGAATTTTAATCAAATATTTTGTTGGATTTTGCTACTATGACAGAAAAATTGTAACAGATGTAGTGACATAATTCCAGTAGGCAATAGATGATTTGATGGAGATATTGACAGTGTTTAAAACAACTCAATGATGAGATGCCATGTGGCATTATGTCGAGAATTATGTCAATCATTATGTTACCGTAGCATGATTATATTTTGTTTGATTCTCAAATTAAATTAATATTTATAGTCCATTGCCTATGAAGAAACTAGAGTCCTCCCCGGTCCAATGATACCCAACAATTTTCACCCTTGAACGCAACCTTCCAAGTTGAAGAAAGTCTCATTTGCTATCATTTGGGAAAAACATAAAAAATGTTTCATATTAATTACTTCGGGTCCATAACCACGCCGAATTAACTAAAATGCGATGGAGAAAATCTTTCAAGCGCAGAAAACATTATTTAAACTGCTAAATTGAAATTCGCCAACTTTCAGAATTGATTCATCTTTTTTATCAGGAGGTTCAAGAATAAAGTGGCACATATGAATCGACTTAGTTCCGTCGAGCAAAATATGATGACTCAAATGAGCAATATTGAGTGAGCCACGGGCTAGGAGGAGGTTTGCCTGATTGTCCATGTCACGATTTATTGTGAACACATTTTGAACTTTTTATTATCAAGTAACATTATTTAATATCAATATTAAAATATCAACTTTAACCGCTTCGCGGGTTAAAAAGTCAAGTGACTATATTTTGAAGAATTCAGATATGATGGATAGACCTGTGTAGGTGACACGTGTCACTTGGGTTTGACTTGGGGATGTGTAATGATTTACCCTAACAAATCATTATTTGAATTTAACATGCTTAACCACCGTTCAACTTCAGAGGTAACGACAATAATAATAATAATAATAATAAAAAAAAAATAATAATAATAGAGGGTTTCTCGAAGAGGGCCGCGTATTTCTATCTATTCAAAAATTCAATTAGGACGTTCAACTTCAAAGGTAACATTAATGATGATGGCTCAAACAACTTGACAATTTTAGGTAAAACAAATGCTTTCAACCAAATAGTTCAAACTAAAATCTATTATAAGAAAATAAAAGCAATTATGAAACAAATAATGCTACTATCACTTCATTAAGCTTTTGTTTGGCTTCTGTTGAAAGTATATTTTTCTCAAAACTCATTTTCAATTATACATTTTTTCTGTAAAATAACGCTACTCGTAAATTCAAAATTCTTCCTTATTTTTAACTACATGTTTTTCAAAACATCACTATTTCAAAACATATCTTCTCCCAAAATCTCATTTTAATGGAGTTCAAACAGGGACTAAGATTGATGATGGTCAGCACCCTAAGCCCCTATCTGATTCAACTATAAAAGTACGTTTTAATTTAAATCAAATTCAACATTTAATTTTGAACATATGTTTCATGACGAACACAATTTTCAACTACATATTCTATCATTTTTTATTATTATCAAAATCTGCTAAAAAAATCTAATTTTAATATACATTAAACAAGGGCTAAATGTCATTTAAGTGGATATTTAAGTGATATTAAGTGATAGAACCTTTTAGGACATACTTGGAAGTTTTGGGGTACTCGTTATGGAAGTTTTTTAAATTTAAAAAGTGAATAAGACTTATGTTAAGTTTTTTAGCTATAAGTAATTTTACATTTATGAGTTAACTTTTTACTTATAAGCATTTTTTTTATAGATAATTGTACTTATCATCGGTGCTCATTAGATTATTCCTAAAGTTTATATATGTAAGGGTTTAAGATTAGTCTCTAAAAACGTATTTACTTACTCAAGAAGCTCACATCAATGAAACGAACAAATTCTCGTATTAACTTCTCGCTTAAGTGAGCATATTGTATTGAGTTCCTTTTTTTGGAGCGAGCAACTACGACAAGCAAATGCTATATGTTTTTGCTAGCTCGAACTACCATACTTAGCCAAACTATTGATTCACTTGTCTTGTATAGGCTTTCTTCATCTTATGAGACTACAACATGCATTCTCACCTTGTTGAGTTTCGAACCCCTGACCTGCGTTAACTGATTGTTGCTTCCAACAATTGATTAAAATCGTGTTTACTTGGAATGACACTTTTATTATTAAGAGACTATGGCTGGATTGTTGACACTTGGCACCTCACTTACCGTTGGATGAGATTCTAGAGTCGTC